GAATGGGGAGCAAACATGCGAAGGCATTTATGGAGGGAGTATAAGTGGGCCAGACAATTAGCGTGCACTTAAAGAATAAAGAACGTGCATTTATCTATAAGTCCCACCATGGGCCCGGGCTTATATTATGCATTTAGGGGGTACTGCATTTAGGGAGGGCATTTAGGGGGTCTGACTGTATATAAATTGAGAATAACTTTACTTGATTTTAAAAAAAATTTTATACAAGAAAGAAAGAAAGAAACTAATTGTGAAATTATATTACTTTATTTGTAACAGCCAATAAAAATAAACAAATTTCGTGTAACCCAAACCTAAATCTAAATTTTATTGGCTAACTATATGGGTGAATGCATTTTTTCATATAAATATATATATACGTATTGCTGTGGATTAAATTTACAAAATAGTTTACAACCACTTTCTCAAGTAATTGTTAGAATTAAGATTATATAAATAATTATATAAATAATTATATAAATAATTCCAATAATTCTAATCCATAACTACTTGTCTTTGTCAGAGGATGATGAAACATCAACCAATTCTTGATTTGCTGAAAGCTTTTTATATTTCAACCAACGCCGAAGAAGTAAGAAAGCAATGACTACGATAATTATTAAAGATACAGAGCATCCAATTGTAGCACCTAAAATGAGAGCAACCTTGGATGATATTACAGTATCATTTTTCGGTGGTTGAACCGAATATGTGGTTGCAGGTTCTGTAGATGATACGGCATTAGAAGTAGGATTTGCGTTGAACGAAGTGATCCATGTATAATTAGATTTGTCACTAATATCGAGAAGATATAAGTTTGATGTTGGACCGGGTGCCAAAGTGGTTTGCAGCGTAACATTACCTAATAGATATATGTATATGCATAAGAAATTATATAACTAATAACTATAATTCAAGGCTACATACCAAATGCTATAATCATTATATTTCCTATTAAAGCAGCAGAATGGTGTGCAAGTATTGGAGGCGCAGTATTAAAAGCTTTTGGGGTTGACCATTGGAATGGTGGTGTACTTCCAGTGTCTAAAACAGCAAGATCAGGAGTGGCAGGCGAAAGTAGTTCTTCATTTGCTTTACCACCATAAACAATGATTCTACCGTCCATTGCTATATTGAACAAGAAAATTAAATAAACAGGATATTGTAATATGAATGAAAATTTAAAACCTACCTAACACTGCGGAATGACCTGAACGGACACCCGGGATAGTTCCAGTTGCGGTCTATCCAAAATGGATTATAAATAATTTTAGACGTTAATGTTTATTAATTACGCATTAATACGCAAACATGATCTTAAATATAGTTATTTACAATTAAATTCCAAAAAGCTTTAGTCGTATCGAAAGTCCATATCTAATTGAATATGCTAGTTAGTATACATTCTAGAATTGACAACGATAAATAGAGTATGTCGTGTTGTACCTTGTCCATCGGTCTATAACTTATTCCAGTCCCATAAGCAGTAGTGGCCTGTCTACCTCCAATATATACTTTAAAAAATAACATCTCTAAATATCGATATGATAAATTACTTGAACCAATTAAGCTTATATTTGCAAATTTTACCTATCGTTCCATTAGTCAGTAATGTGGCAGTAAAACCAGCCTGAGGTAGAGGATAATCAAGGCCAGAAGCTACAACTATCAACCAAGACGAGCGCGCAATGTCTAAAATGCTCATATCGCTAAACCAAGTTGTATTTTGAGAACCTGTCAAAGGACCCGATAATCCACCAAACACATAAACTTTATTAGATCTATCTTGTACAATTTGAAGATCCATTCGTCTAGGTGGAGCGGTTTCTGAGATTGTTGGTTTACTCCATTGTTGACTTTTTGTATCAAACGCGTATACCAAAGTATCAAGTGCACTGGCTTGGTTACTACTATTAACCATTGAACCTTCAAACATATATATGGTATTGTTTATACTATCCAATGCACTAACTTGCCAGCAAGTTCCCACTGGAATGGCAGCGATTGATGTGAGATCAGTCCATGGAATGTTACTCGACGTGCTGAATGAGGATAAAGTATCTAAATAAAATACATTATTTTGACATCCTTCAACTCCATCAGAATTTTTACCCCAACCTCCAAAGAAATAAAGTTTAGAATCCACTAATATAGAGCTAGCAGAATATCTAGGCGAAGGCGTAAATGATTCAACACGCGCAACAAAATGAGAGAACACAATGCATGAGAGTAGTACATGAGAAATGTAGGTTAAAACCATTGTAAATTATAATCAAAGAGAAAGTGCGAGACTTTGTAGTAATATATAAAGTAATTCTGATAATTTATAACAAAGATCATTTTACAAAGAACTGCTTGTTCAGAATTAGGGTAAAATTAATTTTGTCGATTTTTTTTTTTCGGTTAATTCCTAATTAAATTAATGAAAGTAAGACTAGTACGGATGTTTGCTTAGATTTTCAACCATTATTTGGCCTAATGTAACTAAATACTATATTTGTAGAACAGTAATAAACCACGTTTTTTAATGTTTGGAAGCTCAATATTTTTTTTATAATATTAATGTTAAATGATTGGTCACCATATACCACTATGTTATTTTTGTTATTTGATCATACAAGACTAGACTCAATGTAAGGCTCATTGTTAAAAATTTTTAAAGCATTTAGAAAAAAAATTATCGAACAGTAAGTGCACAATTTTGTATACATTTGCTTTTTCAACCCACCGGAGTTGTATAACAATAAATTACTAAAAAAAGATTTTTTAACTTGATTCGTCATTTTCTTTCATAAGTTTATTTATGAACGTACATATCAGATATGTACGCACATGCATGTACGTACGTAAAAGCAAAGTAATATAGCATTGAATCAGAAAGTTTAATGAATGGTAAAACTTATTTATAATTAAAACTTATTTATAATAAAATTACACATTTTAATATCATAATAAATTTAGTCAAATATATGCATAAAAGAAAACTTTAAAATCTATTAACTTGAATATTAGATACTGCAGGCACTAATAAAATAAAAATTAATAATCAATATTAATAATGATACGTAACGATAAACTTTTATAAATTTATTAAACAAAGAAAGCAAAATGGTAATGTGTAATTCGAATGTCGCACTAATTAGTTAACTAACCAAAAAAATGATATAAAAAAGAATATTTCAAATTGCGTTTAATTTGCAAATCTTTAAAATAGAATGCAAACTAAAAATCTGTATACAAACGAAGTTTAAATCAAGAAATTCTTGAAGAAAAGCTGAATGTGAAAAATGCTAACATTCTCGAAAAATTGAATCAATGTATAAAAAACTTATTTTATAGATAATTTTTATAGATAATTTATTGATTAGTAGTATATTCTCATTTGAAAAAATTAGTATAACATCATTGACCCGATTATTATTAGATTATGAATATTATTATTTACCTTTTTCGTTTAGTATGTTTATATAGTTTTGTTTTTTAAAAAAGTAGAACTAGGTTAATGCGTACGTACGTAGCATTATATTCCGAGCTTATCAAATATGATAATCATACAAACGCGTACGTAACAATAAATATATATGCGTTTTGTACAAATATATACACGCGCAAGAGTTTTGCAAAATTACGTTTTTGATATTACATAGTAAATTAAAAAATGAACATATCAAAAACGTAACTTATTTACCGAATTGCCAATCGTACTAACTTCCTTTTATGTTCAACTAATCATGTCGTGAATAATCTTTTGAATCCTATATGTTTTTCTTTTTTTAAGCACCAATCGCTTATCTAATTCATAAGTTTTACGATGACCCTTAATAGTATTAATGATATAAACAGGCAATATCTAAAGCGATACAATGAAATGAAACCCGAATAAAATTCGGAATTTATATTTTCCTTAAAGATTTCTGATGATTGTAACTCTTTCCCAAATTCCGTCGTAAGTCACGAGACATAACTGCTTATTATCGTTGTGATTCGTATGTGTATAAAGCTTATCACTTAAAACAAATATAGAGTCATTCACACTTTGCATATATTTTATAAATAAATGATTAAAGGACAATCTATAACGATAAGTTGAAATTTCCGATTGATCATCGAAATAATTAATAAATAATATTATAAATAGTTATTGATCTCTCAAATATTTTAGATGATAAATTTCAATTATTCAAATATTATAGGATTTTACAATTCGTTATTAGAAGTAAATTTTGCTTTATAGAGACGTAAATTCACTAATGTAATTGCCTACTTCATTCATTTAAATATTTTTTGTTTATTGACTCTTAAAATATAATATTATATTTTTACACAAATGTTTATTTGGTACCGGAAAAAATACAGGGTAAAACATATACCTCTAATATAGTCAAGATAATAATTCATTTTTTTCTAGTAATGATTCAAAGTCGCGTATCAAATATTAGATATTATGATGGAATTGGTTAAAAAGCCCTCTTAAACTCAGTAATTGAATAATACCAGCGATGTCAATAATTTACACGTTGCTAAAATTCAAATGAATAGTAAACCTTTCAAATTCACAAACTTATTTGAATGAAATATCCTGCTATTTACGTCTTACCTGTATGTCTGTGATATAATCCTTTAATTTTTCTCCTCCCCTTTCAACCACTGCTTTAATCGCTTCATAGTCTGATGCTGCCTGTCCAATGAATTTTCGTGCAAAATCACGAGCATTCATCTCCAATCCACCTAAATCTAAATTTTCACGCCGTGAAGGTTCGTCATCTCGTCCAAAGTATTGGTTAGAAGATATAGATGTTGCCCCTTCAAATTGCCTCAATCGATCGGATGCCTCTGACATGGTATCAGGATCATACTGGTTGCGACCAAAATATTGATCAGAAGAAATTGCCTTTTGATTTCCAAATTTTTGGCGAGCGTAATCGGTATCGGAAATATCATCTAATTAATTTGTTGAAAAGGATTCCAAAACTAATTATGTCATGCTACAAAACATATATATATATATATATATATAAGGCCGTGCAAACTTAATTGGTTTTCATAATCCGACCGGTCAAATTTTGAAATTTGTAAAAAAATAAAAAAAAAAAAGCCAGTCGGTCGAGCCTTTTTACAAGGTTCATATTATGAAAACCAAGATATTAAATTTGTGTGACCCTAATGTTCTAAAAAAAAAAAAAAAAATCTTATTAATACCATTATTTGATTTACTTAAATTATTTGCATTACTAATTGATCCAAATCCGATATATCGCGAAGTAGTTGTTTCTTCAACTTTTGTTGTAGGTTTGCTAACACTTCCAAATCCCAATCTCGAAACTCCCATGCCAAGTCTTTCAAGATCATCACTAAGTCGTTGGTTATTTATTTCCTGATTTCCTCCAGGTGATTGCGATCCATCATTATATACTAAGCGAGAACTGAATGTCCATCGTTCTGCAGATTTTTGTAAATTGGTTTCTTCATTCTGTAATTGCTGTTTAGCTAATTCTTCTTCCTCTTTGGCTTGTTGTTCCGCTGTTTCGATATCAACCTTTTGAAGTTTCACTGCTCCTAATCCAACTTTAGTTTTCTTTTGTCCCTTTCCACGAGCAGTAATGTTCGACCTTGCTGTGGATGCCGATTTTATCACCTTATGATTATTAGGACTAGATGACTTGTTTGTGGTCGCAGTTACGCTTGTTTCTTCCGTTGATGAAGGTTTTTCTACAACTTCTTTGTCAAATGTATCGAAAAAGTCTTCTGATTTAGTTGACGTTTGTGGTGTTTGTGGCTCCTCTTCGACAATCTCGAAATCGGGATTTCTTCAAAATAATTAATGTTAACTACTATTTCAAATTTTTATCTACTATTTCAAATTTGTTAAATGCAATGAAATTTGAATTTACTTTTTAGAATCTTCATTAGCCCTTTTAATAAGTTCATCTTTATATTTTAAGGCCACACGAGATGTATATTTTAATTTTCCATCTTTACTATTTAAGGACGCGCTACCACCGTGTTTTGTGAAATATTCTAATGCGGCTGCATTACCACCCACTTTCATGACTCGTAATTGTTCCCACGTCCAAGCATCCAATGATATAGATCTGTCACAAAAAAAGTTCAATTTCGTTAAGTTAAAAAGGTGATAATGCCTAAAATAGATCTACCTCACAAAACTGATGTGGACTCCGAGATTCCTATGTACGGAAGAGCAATCCAAGCAAAGATATATTCCGAAAGTAACACTGGACCAAGAAGGATTTTTAGCTTTACAATCAAAGCACATCTATAAGTTCAAAATTTCAAAAATGAAATGCGTCTGATGGAAAGCTTGGACTTTATAAAAAAGCACAAATAAAATATACTTTATTCGCTCTTTGCGAAGTGAGCTTTTTGAAGATCTCATCAATTTGACTTTTAGTTGGTTCCGACATAGCGATAATTAGAGAAACAATACTAGCGATACGAATTCGTAAAGTGTGCCGCTAACGTGGCTGTATTTTATATGTTTTTTACTCGTGTATGTACATATCCCGGTGCTTTCCGATATCGATAATACCGATACATTGTGCTGCACGAACCATATTCGTTAATGAAACTTCTTGGAGTCACTCCGTAGTTTAAGCCACAAGTAAAATTCCTGTTTTTTGCAAAAACGTAGTTTAGGACAAATACAGAATTTTAAATTTGATTGTGTAACCGATGCCAAACATTTATTTTTGTTGTGAACTAAATTTGTTAGCGCCATTTGATATCGTCAAGAAAAAGTGGCTTTAAAAGTATGGAATTAAAAGAGATTTTGATCGCTTACGTAGTATTTTGTATTTTGTAGATTACATACTTATTCGAAACACTTTCAGTTGAATAAAAGTTTTTTGCTACATTAAAATGTGGGGGCTACTAACTAACCAATCCGATGAACTGGTTTTTTATCAATTCAGTGTTTTTTAATAAAAAAACCCTATTGGCTAAAGTTCGCAATTCTAACCAATAAAATTATTAAATTTTAACATCATTTTGAGCAATTTTATAATGAGTTGACAATTTACGTAACATAGATATCTAATCTAGCAAATTGTACGTATTCATATCGTTGTACGTATAATATATATAAAATTTCTTTTTTTTTTTTTAATATGTACGTATCGGTATTTATTGTACGTATACTTTTAGCAAAATAAAATTTTTGAACAAAAATATAACGATAAGATAGAGGAGGAGTTAAAATTTCATTAAAATATTATAATTACAAAATTTTTATTTTAAAATATAACTCTTTCTATTTAGATTCTAAAATCAATAAAAAAAAGCAAGTTGACTTTTATTTGCGCAACTTTTATAACTTCCGGGTAGGTAAAGTGGCGGATCAAACAAATTAATATACAATTAATTAAATATAACAGTTATAAAACATGTTCTAATGGTTGCTGTTGCTTATAGATCAATTGAGTTAATATATCAAATTTTATATATAAACTTTTAATTTTAATAATCTCATAGTTGTTTGTTTTTATTTAGTTAATTGTGAATATTATTACTAGGTTAACAGAAACTGTTGTGAGTCCGAAGCATAACATATTTTAATAATTAGTTAAATAAACTAACTAGAGTTT